AGTATAACTGAGCTCTTCAGAAATAATACAGCCTGTCTACAATCTAGCCTATGAGTGCTTACATGTGAGAAAGCTACATTAAAGACATAGAGGACACTTCTAACTACACACTGTGGTTATAGGAGTCTTCATATTTAAGTAAGTTTGAATGATAATGGATGGAAAAAATAATTTGCCCTGCAAGGATCTTCATGTATGCAACATTAAGAACATCCTGTCTGCCAGTGTCAAGTTCCCTCCACCCCACCCTTAAAAACAGCTGCAGGGTCTCTGTTCAGGACTTCCCATCCTCCTGCAGAGCTCATTCAATGGAGAGCAGGTGGCATCAATGTGCCTGTTGCCAGATGCACAACAGCAACATCATTCTATGAGAAGCCTGGAGGAAAACCCACAAGATTCTTTTGGATGACTTTGTCATCATCCTGCATTGCATTTTTGACACTTTCTGTTCTCCACCAACCACTAAATGGCCATGAAGTGTGAGGTGGGAGCAAGAAGAAGGTAAGTCCTGTAGGGGTTTTGATCATTGTGCTGTAGTAGCACTAGAAGTAGCAGTCAAAAATATTCAATATGCAGGAGCTTAACTGAAATCACTAACAGGATGCTAGCCTACATTCCACAGCAAAAGAACATGCTGAGTTCTCACAGGACTGACATATTTTTGGAGGCATGGTTATGGTCCTGATAGAGGGGTTTTTTAAGAGAGATTTTTAAAATTTGTAAATGGTGCAGTTGCGCAAAAATGCTAATCCATGTGCTCATTTTTCATTTGACACTTCAGCTCCATTTCTGTTAGTATTTGCTACCTAACTACACTGTTTGAAGGGGCAAGATGGAAACAGATAGAAATCAAGATTAATTGACCCCAGGTTATCCTTGCTTTTTGTGTTCATCTGAAATATAAAACAACTGGTAACCACAAAAAGGAGAGCAGTGTAATTTTCTTGTTCTTGGTGTGGTTGTAGTTGACACTCACACCCACACCCACACACAGTTAACAGTGCATAACAATTGCTGCCAGTTCTAAAATTTTTGTTGGGTTAGGAAATCCAAGGAGTTGGTATCCACCAACTCCTGTGTATCTCGGAGAAGCTCTGGGAACACTGTTACCATCCACTATACAAAGAGTCAAGCAATTGAGCTCTGAAATCTCAATGATTGAGAACAAGAGCATCTTTTTAACATCCTTCTGCCACGTTTCTGCTTTAAATGAAGCTATTAAAGGAGAATTAGAGAGGAGTCCTTGAGATTTGAACTTTATGACACTTCTAGCTCTGACCCTTCTTCAATAAAATCCTGCAAGAGACTCTGAAAAAAATGTATTGTTCTTTGTTTCCTTGCCCCCCAAAGCATATGATTATCATTTTGGTAAACACCTTTTTCTAGCATGGGACACTACCTCTTCCATTGTTGCAATGCCTGAACAGTGCTAGAGACACACATTAGTGTGTGTCTCATCAACTCATACATCCATGAAACACTTCCGTTTACCAGTTGGACATAAATTTTTTGGTTTGCATATATTAAACATATAGCCATGTTAGTCTGGAAAATCAGTGTGCAAAGGGATCATGTAGCACCTTTGAGGCTAACTGAAAGAAAAAAGTTGGTAGCATGAGCTTTTGTAGACTAGAGCCAAGTTTCTCAGATATTTGATGCAGCAAGTCTATGCTACCGGGTTTTTTTCTTCAGTTAGCCTCAAAGGTCCTACAAGGTCCCTTTGCACAGTGGCTTGCATATGTGTATTTTAAAACATTTATAAACCACCCTTCAACTAGACATCTCCAGGACAAGTTACAATTAACATTTTTCACTGTCTAATTGATCAGAGACTGTATTCTTTGATCTATATATCTTTTTATCTATATGTCCATCTGATAATTTATATAAAAAAATACACCATATGAATATATCCCCCCTGCTGTATTCAAGTATATTAATTTATTTTCATGCAAACCAGCAAAGAGTCAGAATCCAATAACATATTAGTCAGTCTTGAACTGGGAAATATGAGGTGGGGTTATGAGCCAGGTATTTGATCAAATCATGGCTATCTAGCTCTGGCCAAAAGAAAGAACTTCAGAGAGACCAGCCATACCAGTGAGGAAGTTCATTTATATTAACAGGTCAGAATGGGCCAGTGTTAATACTTGTTTGTATGAAGGCTTCTTTCTGAATTAGTGTTCTTGGCTGGTTTGAGCAGACCAAAAAGATACATGACAGATAGATATCAACAGACAGAAGACATTGCAGGCACCTCATTCTAATAATAGGAATGTAAATCTTCATGTATTTCAACCTTGCATTCAAGAAATGCATAATTACCATAGATATGCTGTACATATCTTAATTCTTGTTAAGATTCCTGTGCAATTTTGTACAGCATTCAGAGTTTGGGAATTCTTTCAGGGAATTCTTTTTACACACAAATATATGTGATATTTTTATTTCCAAAAACATATGGCACAGAAAACTCACATATACTGTATTTCTGCACAGATGAATTGCTCCAGGAAAACTTTTTCTGCAAACTTCAAGATTTCACTGCTGTTCTAATTTTCCTGACAGGTTTTCCCCAATTTTGGGAGTACCCTTTTCTTCAGCTGAGGAAGAACTAGAAGCAAATATTCTTTCCATTTCTATCTGACACCAGCAAATAAAGTGCCATAGGTTAAATTCACAGAACATGGGGATCTGTGTGATTCTTCATAGCTCTAAATTGTTGCATCACTTACCTGCTGGAGCATTGGCCATTATGGTTTCATCATATGTGGCGGCAGGAGTTGGGAAGGCCATGTCCATGGGCACCTGTTATAAAGAAAAGAAAGTATGGATTTTCACAGTTCATAATGGTCTATAATAAGGAATGGCAACATGCAGCCCATTCATTTCATTACTATAGTATATCACCAGCTATCCTGTAGATGTCTTCAGATTTCAACTTGAGCTCACAATTCCTTGTTTTAAAAATAAATAAGTAAATAAATAAATAAATAAAATTTGTTGTAATCTGTTCAAATACATCGACTTTACAACTTGATATCATATCAAGTTAATACAAAGTTGGAGATTTGAAAATAGATGGAGTGTATGGTGGCCAGTTTAATAATATATCTTCTCGCATTAAGATCTTCATTTAAGCAGAGCTTGGAGAAATCGTCTTCTCCTTCTTCTTCACCATGAACAGTAAGTCCCAGAATCTCCAGCTACTAGTTAAAAAATTCCCAGCACTCTGAAAAATTGTTTATGATCTGATATTATATCTTGGATTTGTAATATTAGCATTAGAATTCTAATTGATCTGAGTGGCCCTGGGATAATCACTCACTATCTCATGTGTATCCTGCCATACAATACAGGATTTCTTCCTAGGTCGTTTCTTAACTGGTTGCTGGAAACGTAAGGAACAAAACTTTGATTCCATTGCTTGCAGATTCTTTTAATGCTGTGCTTTGTTGAATAGGTAGTTGTTTGTGTTGGGCTCAGTCCTTGAACCCAGGCAAAAAATGCTGAGTTCCACACTTGGAACAACATTGGATCTTTCACTCTCTCTAGCATATACATCAGGCCTCGGGTATCAGAATGTAAGATTCAAAAAAATTGGCAGCTTTGTTCCTTAGCCTATCTATCTATAAGCACATGGGGCTAGAGGACCTAAAAGCACATGAAGGATCCAGTTCTGACTTTTGACAAGACTATTTATCAGAGATTGGAATGTTATTTTTTTTTAAAAAAATTGATTCATTAGGACTAGTCAATACTTTAAACCCCCTCCTGCTGCCAAATATAAATCCCAGGATTCCATAGGATGTTGCCATAGCAGTTAAAGAGGAATAGTGACACTATAACTACATAGAGCCCTGTGTGAGATATGGAACTAAGGCTGCATCTGTACTACAGAAATAATGCAGTTTGATACTGCTTTAACTTCCATGGCTCCATTCTATGGAATCCTGGGGTTTGTAGTTTGTAGTGGCACCAGAGCTCTCTGACGGAGAAGGCTAAATATCTCACAAAACTACAAATCCCATAATCAAACCATGGTATTTAAAGTAGTATCAAACTGCATTATTTCTGCACTGCAGATGCATCCCTGCTCTCCAAATCCAATGTTTTGAGAGTAAAAGAAAATTTTTCTTGATATATGCACACAAACACACACACACACACACACACACACACACTACAGTTAATGTGTACACTACAGTTAATGTGTGTGGGAAAGGGCATTGCATGTGAAGTCATAGGCCAGGGGTAGGCAAACTTTCCCCTTTAAGGGCCGAGGGACTTCAGCTCCCAGAATCCCAGGCTCCTGGGAGCTGAAGTCCCTCGGCCCTTAAAGGGGAAAGATTGCCTACCCCTGTCGTAGGCTTTCATGGCTGGCATCTATAGTTTTTTGTGGGTTTTTTGGGCTGTGTGGCCATGTTCTAGAAGAGTTTCTAGAGAATACTGGAATGGAAGAGAGTGGGTCTATATATACTGTGAGACCCTGGGTAGGGAGGGATGATTCCCATGTAAACTGTGTATACACTGAAGATGCCAGCAACAGATGCTGGTGAAACGTCAGAAAGAAACTCTTCTAGAACATGGCCATACAGCCTGAAAAACCCACAAAAAACTATGGCATTGCATGTCTTTTTTAACAAAAAGATAAGTTTATTACTGATAATATGTTATTTCTACACTATACCAGTCATCTTTTTTTTAATGTATTATTCATCTTAGATGACTCCACAAGTCATACAATACTGCCCAACACCTTATCAGATTTGCAGATTAGGTGTGGTCTTCCATCTTCTGTTTTTAACTTGGTGCTGGCACTTCTCTGATCCATATTTGTTGTTGTAGTAGTATGGCTTTCAAGTCATTTCTGACATATGGCAACAAGGTGAGCCTATTATTGGGTTTTTCTGGCAAGATTTGTTCAATTAGTATTTGACTTTGCCTTCCTCTGAGGCTGAGAGTGTGTGGTTTGCACAAGGTCATCCACTGAGTTTCCATGCCAAGCAGGTATTTGACCCCTGGCCTCTAAAGTCACAATCAAATGTTCAAACCACTACACCACACTGGCTCTCAGCACCTTGTTGTCTTCATAATTTTGACAGTAAAATTTGCATATGATGTGTTGTCCTCAGTCTTCTGATTTTAACTTGGTGTTAACATATCTCTGATCCATTTACTTGACTAAGGATTCAGTTGACCTGGATTTTTTTTAAATGACTTTATGTTTGCCAGGCAATATAATTTTATCCCAGTTTGTACTGAGTATCATCATGCTGTGCCACTGTAACAACTATATGGCTATAAATGCCAGGAGTCTTTTCTGGTCCTGAAACTACTTCAATCACTTATGTGTGCATGAAACTGTGAAAACTGCTGCCAAATTCCCATTATCACTGAAGTCTGGTGGTAGATTTGTCATTTCATATGTTTTAGACTTCAAATCCCAGAAGTCCCAGTCAGTATAGCTGATTGTAAGGGTTTATGAGAGTTGTAGACTAGAAGACCACCGGGCCTAAAATATTAAGGCTCAAGCCAATGATATCTTTGGCAAACACATTCCATTTAATGTAGGGATGGAAAAGAAATTATTTTTAACTGTTTCATGAAACAAAGTTACCCAGTTCATGGTTTTCAAGACAATTCATCTTTCAGGTTCACAGCACTGAGAAGTAAGCAATGAGTAGAGATATTTCCTCCACCAACTTCTGTTACCTATAAATGAATGCGCACCATTCAAATTGTGTGTATTTGAAAAAAATGTGCATAAACACACCCGGAGAAGAGTGTGTACAAATAATAATAATAATCATGTATTAAGAAACAGTGTGTACCAACATGTGAATGAAGTTCCATGTGAGAAGAAAAAGTCTCACCACCTAATACAGCTCAAAGGCATGCCATGGAACTGAGATACTGACAGATTCTCATGTTGCTACTGTGTCTCTTTCCTTTTCCCTCTCTCCAAATCATGACTTACAGGAATAAAAGTATCTTTCTTTCCCCTGAACATCCTGGAAAGTTGCACACATGAGCTTTACCATCCCCCATGTATTTTCACCTGAGTCACATTCTCCACTTTGCTGGCATTTCTTGGGCAGGAAGACAAGAGACAGCTCTCCCGTTGGAGTAGGTTACTACCAAGTTCTTCCAGCTGTTGTAGATACTGGAGAACAGGACTAAGTTCCTCTGACTGCTGGTCTATGAGATCAACCGTTGCCTCCGGCTGCAGTAGTTCTTGGTGAAAATCAGTAAACTCTTCTGGGTGCTGCAAGTATCGTAGCACGGGGCTAATCTCCTCAGGTTGATCTATGCATTGGAACAAGGGCCTACTCATCTTTGGCTCCTGTTGGCACTGAAATGGGGGGCTAACCCCCTCAAGCTCCTTCTGGTACTGAAGCAAGCCACTAGTCTCCTTAGGCTGGTATAAATATTGGCTGGCCAGTTTCAAAATACCCTTGGCTGGGAAGAGCACCAGTATGACGATAAATGAGCTATATACATGCCAGACGTTTGCCAAGGGTGCCAACTGGATGTGGCTCCAGATTAGTTGCCAAAAGTGGCCAAGGAGAGCCTCACATGCCTGCCACATGTGGCCTGGACTGGCAGCAAGAGAGCAGCAAGGCTCACTGCATTGACTTGTGGCTAAAAACCAAGATCCTTTGTGTAGGTCATATAGGGTCTCAAGACCTTTGTCTTTGTGTGACTGCCTGCCTAGGGGAGAGGTTAGATGTGTTTGTTTAGTCTCTGAGGTGCCCGGGGGTTATATTTGCCTCACAAAAGTGTGCCTCACCTCTTCCATGGTCTCAACTGAGGTGCCAAATAGTTCTTGTAAGTCAAGCAGGTCCTTGGCCAAGTCTGGAAGTATAAAGACAAAGAGGTGGAACTGTGATGAAGTTACCAAGATGGTTGCTAAGGAACGACCATTCCCATTTGTGAGCTGTGGTTGCCATGGGAGCCCAAGTAAACATAGGTACCAGTTGAAAAGCCTTTTCTCCAGCTTAACAGAAGTTCATTCATCCACACAGTCTGTGGTGTAGTTTTCCACCTCTTTTCCTATAATGTTAAGATTGGTTGCTTAACTGATGGCCTTTTGTACATCACCATTCACATACCACCGGGCAGTTGACCGTGAGAAATACCAAAATACAATTACAGAATTAAAATATTGCCAAGAAAACAACCCACAACTAAAATAAAGTACATTAATCCTTCCCGATTTGCAAGGGATTTGTTCCGGAACCCACCCACCCCCTGCAAATTGGAAAAACCACATATATCCAAGCCTGATTGGATATAATGGCCATGCATGGGGGCACATGCCATTTTGACCCCGTGGCTTCCCATCCGCAGAAAGTCAAGACCGCGAATGGGAAATTTGAGAACTAGGAGGGCCAACTACTTTCTAAATTCACTACAGCTCCAAAACTCCTTTTGGCTCCTTCCTTCCTAGGATGTCACTTTCCTTATACACCTTCACTAACTCCCCATGGCCAGTATAGTGGGAATGCAGGAAATCTATGTGGCTGAATTTTATGACATAAAAAGGAAGGAGGGAAGGAAATAATAATAATAATAATAATAATAATAATAATAATAATAATAATAATAATTTTTATTTATAACCCGCCCCTCTGCGTGGCAATCGGAGTGGGGAACAACAAGCATAAAAACAGAACAAAGTTAAAAATCAAACCCTCATCCCAAAATCCTACCCTCCCATCCCCTTAAAATAGAATTAAGCAACAGAGAAAGTTAAAAATGCCACATTAATTAAAAACAAATAAGAACATATAATAACGAATAATAGAATTGAAGGCAACAAATTAAAGCTCGTCTCCCAGCTGAGA